AAGTGACGTCCTTGTCCAACCTGACATTCGTTTTTAGTCGCTTAAAAATTCCATCAAATACTCGTTCCAGCTTCAGGAATCGCTTTAATTTCCTCAGTTCTTAGCTTCTGTTCAAGCAAATCTCTGATGCGACTTTGAATAAACCTTGAACTTCAAGTAGCTTAGGTAGAACCGCCAAAGGAAGAAAAGAGCCAACGTAAAGCTTCCAACAACGTAAGCTTCCTAGCAAACCTCTTTGGACTTCGGGTTACTGCGACTCGCACTCTTTCGACATAACCTGATGTACGGAGAGTTTTAAGCTGTTATCCTAAATAATTGTACTCAGTTCACTATCGTTTTCCGATCTGAAATAGCGCTATGGCGACCAAGGATGGAATATAATAGAAATAAATTCCTGGTGTTTTCTCTAGATTCCCTATTTAAAAATAGGTTTACACAGCAAAATCACAGTGTTAATAACCACAAATCACAATCTTTACTTACATTTTTCAATTATAAGCACAGCTGTTCTTTCATTGTTGCATTACTTCTAAGTTGTTCTCATTGTCCCACCCTGGGGGGAGCGAGCTGGTCTAGTGGTTAGAGCGCGGGACTTCGGTCCAAGAGGTCCCGAGTTCAAATCCTGCCAAATCACCAATGGATGTCATCTAAGTGATAATGCCGCAACCCCTAGGTCTAGCCTGAAGTGATGTGAAAAACAATCCCATTCTCGTGCCTAGCGTCCTAGGACAAAAAAATTGTCCCACCCTAAACCACACATGTACAAGGTTAAACAGGGTAATATTTAGTGGGGGACTATTTACCCTCAAAAGGTTCGGTAAAATATTTATTTAAAACGTCAGTCAATGTATTTGTCCTAACTTCACATCCTAGAACGCTGGACTCTAGGCCAAAACTGTTTACATTTTACTTCAGGCTATAGCAAGTGTTTCTTAAAAGGTTCACATTTAAAAACCATTGGGGGTTAGCTGGATTTGAACCCTGCACCTCTACTACAGATGCTCTAGCACCAGACCAGCTCACTCAGTCTTATTATACTTGGCGGAACCTTCATTGCAATATTTTAACGAGGAATATATCAGTAGTCTAAATGTGTAATGATGTCTTTGCCAAAACCTCTTGGGATGTTCGCAAATTCTGACAGATGTTTGTACTTGAGTGGCGTCGCTATCTCCATCAATCTAATGTGGCAGCTCACTTTACTTGGGACTCAAGATTGATTCATCGGGCGGAAACTAATGTTATATTCACTCATTGACCGAATTATATCTACTTGCCGCAATAGTAACGTGTAGGGCCCATTATGGATTGATGATACGCTACTAGTAAACATGGGTAAATACAAAAAATACTCGTGATCGTACTAACGTACAAACGTGAAAAAACACTACTACTTTAGCCTAATACTTTTCAATGAAATGGCGATCATACAAAGTAGGTATTTTAAGCCAGGTATGAATGGAGATGAGTGACGCGATTTTGTAGTCTTGTTAGTGACTAAGGCCACAGAAAACATACTTGTTTTCTGTGCTAAGGCCCACATATTCCTACAGTTTATAGTGGAATCCGAACCACATTCTTGCCTTGGTATTAATGAATTTGTTTAACTATCAGAATAGTACTGCGGATAGTCGTAGGACTCGCTATTGCGGACGTTAATCCACCCTAGGGAGTATCGTATCCACAGTGCATGCCTATAAATACCCACAGTTCGTGGATATAATAACTCAATATTCTCAGAACCACATAAAAATCCATATAAATGGTGGACGAAAATGTCTCGGGACATTTACAGTAAAAAATAAAGATAACGCAATGTTACTGGCCATAAGAACCAATTTAAAGAATTATTCAGTAATGAACTAACTCTGGAGGGTGGAACGCTAGGGGAAGAAGAAAACTGTGTCTTCCCCCTGAGGAGATAGCGCATCACCGAATAATGTTTTAAAATGTTTTTTATGGTCAGTAACTTTTTTCAAGGTTTGGTAGCTCTATATTTTTCATTTTCTTGAAATATGTAACTGTATCTAGACTTTTTTCCGCCCTGTATAGAATAAAATTGGTTAATGACGAGTAAAGCTGCTTAGAGACAAATGAGAAATTAATTTGACGCGACGAACTACGAAACGATGACAGCGATGTTGTGGTTTCATGCTCTGGTGTCGTCGCGCTTAACATTTTTATCGATAGGCCTATAGTTTATTCTTGTACTCTTAAGGGGCCACAAGTTGCTTTGCTTGAGGCGCTCAAGGTCCATGTGGGAACGCAGAATAATTTCTTTGAAATAGGTCGTGCATTAATTGCGCCCAAGAGTTCCTTAATTGCGCTAAGCCCTCTAAGGGTCCCAAAAAAATGTTCCTTAGTCTCCAAGTCCAAGCTAGGTAGGGGTGAGTTACCTGTAGAAGGAATGACCTTGTTTACATGTCATCCTAACCTAACCTAACTTAATCTAACCTAACCTAATCTAACCTAACCAAACCCAACCTAACCTAACCAAATCAATTACAGTCAAAGAGGGTTGCCACTTGGTGCAGTTAATGAACGTATTGGGTGGCTCCCTGGAGTAGTTGACGCAATTCAGGAATACCCGACACCTGACTCAGGTCAGTGGGCGCAATTAATGCCCCGCCCGCGCAAGTGGAGTATTTAGTGGCCTGGACGTTAATCCTATCGTGGCAGTAGCGGTCGTCTCACTAATCGGTTGACCTGGGACCCTCTGACCGCCTTTGCTCAGATATTTTACAATTGGCGTTATGTGGATTACCCGGGGACTCTCTGTCCTAAAACCAACAATAATTCACAGTTTATCAAAGACGCATTGCATAACACAAGAATACATTTTATACCAAGTACACGTGAAACCTACAGATCGCTAGTTCTAGTGCTGAGTGACTATATTAGAATCGCGATAGAAACTACTCAAGAAGTCTATCTATGGTGTAATTTATATGTAATAACAATTTCTCCATCTGTCCGTCTTTGACAGGGCGTACGCCCAGGCACGTGGCGTGGGACAGAACAGAGATGGGACGGAGAAAGCACCAGTCCTGACTATTATCCGCAGCATTGTATTTGCATGCTGGGGGCGACTGCCCGGTTTTCCACTTTCCCCGCACCCTGGCCCACTTTCTGGCGGGACTCCGATCCTCAAATGATCACTGATTCGATTGTAGCAATGGAAATGGAAAACTAACTATGTGTTTCGCTAAGCGCAGTCTTGCTTGATTGAATACCATATGTTTATGGTTCCTTAAACACATTGCTGTTAAATAGTTTAGAAGATGCAGTACTAAAACAAGTGTATTTATAGCCCATATTGCCGAAATAAGTGCAAGACGGCAAGCCATTAAAGCTTAAAAGCCTTCAGAAAAAGGTCGGTGGTCTTAAGTTGTTGTTCGAGTTAACAGTTTTCTACAAAACACAATCCGTTAAAGGATGGGAGGTTTTGTGAAGTACGGGTACTATTTTAATCTATTGCCACCATTATATCTGTAGCTGGACGAAATATTGCGAAATATACGAATAAGATTAACTACGATTCAGTACCAGTAAGAAACTTCGTTTGCAGTAAGAACTATTATTTACGTAAGCTTAGGCTTTGGACCCACAAGTGAATCTGAATATCTGTAAACGGAGTTAGAAAGGGACATAAAGCGTAGAGAAAATCAACCACGTACATAACGTCAAACAAGGGCAATTACCAATTCGTAACAGAAGACAAACGGGCCGCCGATAAAAGGGTAGGACGATAACGGTAGATTACAATCGTCGGGGTTCAAGACGGAGGTTGACAACAAATTGATCTACATGATAACTTCAAAACTAGTAATGATTTCATTTCTCTACTAGGCAAAAAAATACCCCGCCGCAGCAAATCTGCAGACTAAGTGAATTTCAATTTGTCTGATTGGATTTTTACTAAAATATTTCCATAAACTACTCATACTTATTCCCTATTTAAATTGCTGCCACGGGGAGTAGGAAGGGGGGAAAGTGTTATCAAATGTTAAAAATATGAGGTGAAATAAACAGATTTTCCAAATTTGAGGAAGATAAATCTATAAAAAGTAAAGTAATTACTACAGTTATCTTTTCCTCCATAAGAGTAACATTGGCATTTTTAAGTTGTATTGTTTTTTAAATTTTTGTTACGTATCCTTCATTCATACCAAATTTCTTCAAAAACGGGCCCAAATCACCAGTTATTGTGTTCACGGAACACTTCAGAAAATAGTGTTTCTGGCCCTTGGGATTATCAAAATGTAATGAAAATCGGCCCCGGTCTATTTTATTTCTGCCTATCGTAATAGCTTCTTCACTGTAGTGAAATTCTCAAAAATGATGATTGAATAACTACATTACACGATTTTTTCAGTTTACTATAGCCTAATATTTAATTTAGAGCTCCAACCTGACGCAACTCCGTTAAACGTGTAAACTACCATAACTATTCCGTAGGTTTTAAAGTTTAGTAAACTTTTCTAAAATGTTAGCTGAAGCCAAGGCATTGTTTCAGAACACTTTGGCCAAAGTAATGGAATTTTCCTGTTAAGGCTCTCAATAACTGATACAACTTTGAAAGCTTCTTTCTTTTAGGATAAAATAGTTTTAAACTCACTACTGTACTGCGTTTTTAAAACTTCGGAGGCAATTATCGTTATAAACAAATTTTAACTGAAAAGTCAGTTGATAGTAGATTAATTTTTCATGGTTTCCAAAAGATTAAAAAACTTCACCGAACATTTACATTGTTTGGAAATTATTTTCTCCAAAGAGAGAAGAAGTGAGAAGTGAGATAAAAACTTGGATGATTAGTTAAGGTTAAAGTAATGTTTTATTTGCTTGTGGTGACTATACTAAACCCAATTTTAATCGTTGACTAAACGGAAATTGTGCTATGGGTGTTAAATACATAGTAGCGTACCATATGTGTAGTGGATTTTAATGTTAGTTACAAAATGGTAAAACTCAATGTATAATGTTCAAAACTTTTGTTTCAGAATGGGACTCCTCTGTGGGAGGATTTGGTAGTCAAAGCAACAAAGCTGCACACTTGCCTAAGGTATGTTATCAACAGTGTAGTAATTTAGCGTTTAGTAAATAAATAATGATTGGGAACTTTATTTTTTAAGGAAATGTTCAATAGTACATAGATAAAATATACTCTCTTAGTTAGATTTCTCATCCTTATAATCAGAAGACAACGTTATTGTTAGTACTGTCTGGTGCACTATAAAGGTCGGGGTTTGTTTGCAATTTTTTTTATTATTTCAGTAATTCAGTAAAACCTCGTTATATAAAATAAAACGATCTAATCATAAACAACAACTCGTCCCTTATTTATAGAACCAAACAGTAAACCACAAATAATTAAATTTACCATAAAACAATAGAAAGTAAATTTCGTCGACACTAGCGACCAGTGTCACCGGACATGAACCAGACAAGAGAAGTCTACTTGTGTTGGTTAGTCTATGGTTTTGGCCTTTTGGAAATAGTAGTTTGAGTTATATCAATCGAAGTAAATATTCCAAGGAAATAGATTGATTTATTTAAGTCGAAATAGTCTGTGATTGCCACAATCATCTGCATCAAAGTTTCCGTTAAAACCAGCTGATTATGTTTGAGTTTTGTTTACCTCTAAAATAAACATTTTTGTTATTGCATTCAACATTACAATCAAGCAAACTTCTTGCAATGGCTAGTCAATTGACCGAAGAGCAGACTGCAGAGTTGAAAGAAGCTTTTATGATGTTTGACCAAGACAACGACGGCTGGATCACACTCAGTGAGTTGGGAACTCTCGTGAAGTACTTGGGATACATCGCGAATGAGGAAGAGCTTCAAGAGGCGGTGGGAAAAGACGGGGAAACCGAGAAAATAGACTTTGAAGGATTCCTGGCGCTGATGTCTCGCTTGGTGATAGACTCCGATGTGGAGATCATCCAGGCGTTCAGAGTGTTTGACAAGGAAGGCACAGGGGTGGTGAGCACTAAAGATCTGAGGCAAGCTCTGACAAGTCTAGGGGAGGTGATGACGGCGGAGGAGGTGGAACAGCTGATCCTCGAGGCTGACGTCAACGGCGACGGTGTCATCAAGTATGAGGATTTTGTAAGAAGAGTGTCGCTCAAGTAGATACTCTGCTTGATTCGTGTTGGATTGTTGAGAAATAAATTTGTCATCGAAGGCTTTCAATTCCAAATGTGTATTTTCTGTTTGGCTTTCAAAATTTAGAACATTAGTGCCGCAGGGAACCTTCGATATATTTTCGGATGAACTAGTTCAATAGATATTGATTTAAAAATATTCTATCGATATATGTTGAATTTAAATACTTATTAATTTTAAATTGATTTTCTGCCTAATCAATTCTTTAAGGTAGAGTAAGTCATTATTTTTCAGTGTGCTTCTGCGGCTCTTAGGTCAGTTTATGGAACTCATGAAAAAGAGAGGATACGAATACAATTAACGTATTTGTAATTTTATCTTTCTGACAAATTACAATATATACCATCTTTTTTATATGAATGTTAATATGTTTATTATTAACCTGAAATAAACTAATCCAACCTAATCACCTTTGTGTGAAAAACCCTGTTTTTAAAGCGATTTATATAACCTAAAAACGATATACTGTATCTGATGCGATATATTAAACTGATATTTCATCCAATAATATATCTTAGGTTTCCTGCGGAACTGTACCCAGAACAAAAAAGCGCTACCTATGTATGGAGTGTTTGTGGCTGGACAATAATATACATCTTTTGTAAATGAGTGATCAATTGAGGCTCTGAAGGTGAACAAAGGCTATGTTCCTTTAAAATTGCAGTTAGCAGCACAGATTGTAGTGAATTATCTGTAGCCTAACACCAAGTTCATTGTATAGGTCGAGAAGAATAGCCCTTATTACGTGACAGTTCAATGCGATATTGTTGATCTATTAATGAAATCAACAATAATATCAGTCTTAATAATACAGCTGATGCATCATTTTTCCACAATACTAGGTCTTTGTTTATCGATAACCTCATTTCAAAAATTCTTCATAAACCTTTTAGTGTCTTACAATCCTTGAAAATCAACTCAGCGGCACTCGATGGCAGACCGTAAACCAAAGTTGACAAAAGAACAGATCGATGTGTTGAAAGAAGCTTTTTCCCAGTTGGACGAGGACGGCGACGGTCAAATCAGCGACAATGAGTTGGAGATCGTCATGAGATCCCTCGGACAGAAGCTGACGGAGTTCGAGCTGTTGGATCTCATGATGGAGATGGACGCGGACCACGATGGCAAGATAGACTTTGAGGACTTCGTGGAGGTGATGGGTCGGAAGATGGACGCTGAAGAAGAAGATGAAACGCAAGAGGCGTTCAGGCTGATGGATAAGGACGGGGATGGTCTGATCGGTGCGGCGGACCTGAAGACGATGATGAGGACGCTGGGGGAGAAGTTGACGGATGCGGATGTCCAGGAGATGATCAGGGAGGCCGACCTGGACGGTGATGGAATGGTCAGCTTTGAGGAGTTTGTAGCCATCGTCACGTCCAAGAAGTCTGAAGATGTCTGAGAGATGGGTTGAAAGATGAGGTTTAGGAAATGCTCAGAGGTGCAGACTTTGGATGGTAAATTGATTAGGACTTTGAGCAGTTTTCGTAATTAATTTTCATCACCACAATTCAGTGGATTGAGACATATTTTGGTGAAGTCAAGTCAAATGTTTGAATAGTTTTCTAAAGTATGAGATAATAAATGTAACTTTGCGAAGATGGGTCTGGGTCTTACTCCGAATTTTGTCCTTTACAGAAATACCAATCGTATGATTTATAATAATTATTTCCCATCCAAAGTAGTCGTTCTTGATTTCCGGCGACCGATAGGGAAAGACCAGCGGGTTTTGGGAATCGTAATGTGTTGGATGTTAATATCAATTTTATTTACAGTAGGTAGTAGACTATATAAATGTTCTGCTGGTCTAGTTCTGGAGAGATATAAAATGGCGTTTCGCTAATCGGTGGTTATGCGCTGTCTTCACCTGTTGTGGAAATACTGTACAAGACACGTTTACCTGCATCAGATGACGTACTCTACTACAAGCTTGGATGATTTTGTTACTTGCTGTCCATTCAAACTATAACCCTACGTGAGATATCCTGGCAGAGTAAATCTATGTTTACTTCCACGTTTAGTAACACTCGTAATTACAGTATCGGTGGCGCAAGTGATCGGTTGCTTCACCACCCCTTGACACACAAACAGCTGATTATTCCCATATTCGACGTCCCGTAGTTAGGCGCAATTAACATTGACCCACGGCTGATGATTTCCAACATCCTGTATGGGCGCATCAGCAAATTGACTACAAGTAGCCATCATATCGTCTAATTGGTTATGGTTTCAAGTCAACTTTCTTTCCTGTGAGATTTTTATAAAATCGACGATCATGGCTTTATGGCAAGACAAAGATTAGGTTTTATGTAACAAAAGTTGAATTGTTTTCAGGAGTATCATGTATCTTGGTATTTGGTTCAATTAATTGTGTGAAATTGGAAAGAAAATCCCACATAATATCAAAAAATAACAAATACAGCACAACTTTGGGTAATAAGGTAAATTAAGGTTCATTCAGCTAGAGTCTAATAACTGACGTATCAAACAACGGCTACATTTGATAAACATTCTATCTCATTAAGTTATCCAATATGTTGCTGTATCAAGACAAACTGTCGTATAAATGCATAGCCGATAGTTCAGAAGATAGATTTTGAAAGATCTTTAGTACGCGATGAGATAGAGATGTTTAAACAAAGTTTCATTCTTCCGGTTATCAATATTGTTTACCGAGAGTCTGTCAATATTGGTTCAAGAACTTAAAAGTCATCGCAAGTTGATTGATATTTAAAATCTGTGTTTTTATCTTTAAATTACTTTTTTGGTGAATGAGATAGGAATGTTTAATCAAACAAAGTTTCATTCTCTTGGTTATCAAGATTGTTTACCGAGAGTCTGACAATATTGGTTCACAAGCTTAAAAGTCATCGCAAGTTGATTGATATTTTAAATCAGTGGTTTTTCAATTTAAAATTTGCTTTTTTAAGTACCCATTTTTAAGAAATATATACTTCTTCCGTGGTCTCAGTGAGCAAAGAGACTGTTCCTTTTTCCCTCCAGCCTAAAAGTAAGATCAGTATCTTTCCAACGCCTATTACGTAGCTGGTGCGTTCTCCCTGCAAGATGATTATTTTCATACATATGCACTCCATTGTGAGGCTATTGTCATCGCGTAGCTACATAGCTACAGTGCAATGCATGGCAATGCGTCGGACACGTGCACATCATGTGGTTATTCACGTGCTGTCAGCTGATACTGAGACACTGACATGTACAGCTGTGTACTAATGGAGTGTTTTACCACCAACACAACTAGCGGGATTTGTGCGGTAGTTCTGACCAGGAAGCCCTGGTTCCCGCTAATTGCTAACAACCTGATACTGTAATATTGAGTATTACTATGTGTTAAAACTGTGATTACGTAGTTCGGTAGAAATCTGTAAAAACTAATGTCTACATACAAAAAGTAGACGTCTCTAGGGTAAGGAGAACTCTCTCCTCCAAAGACAATACAATGTAAAATTAATAAGACGATTCGCATATAACCGTTTATATCCCTGCTACAACAAACCTGTAGACTTAGTGAGTTACCACTTCTTTAATTCGGTTTTATTCAGTAATTTTTTTATTCGACCATTTTTATTTTAACTTATCTGATTTATTTCCTATTTAAAATAACATAAGATTAAAAAAATACACACAGGAAGGAAAAATGTATACAATGAATAAATTTGCCAATTTTGATCAAAATATAGGCCTACTGTATCCATAAACAAGAAAATTATAACAGTTTACTTTTTCCTTTTATTTTACAATGTACCTTCATTATACAAAATAATTTGTTTTGTAAGCTTTTCCGGTGAGACCTAGACCCGGGACCGATTCAAAAGAGTACGTGGCAAGTGTGAAGGTTATCGTAGGTAAGATCAAGGTCACGTGTTATCAGAGAGGCCACTGTGACCTTTTGACCTCTCTGTCGATTATGAGGCAGCCAACGTTATCAGACATGAAGTGTACTGGTTTATATCGAAAACATTTGTGTAAACTTCCACATGGGTCAGGCACCAAGTATGTGATAATAAACGGAAACTTGAGGAGCTGTTTTTCCATATGTTAATCACATTTTCTTGACGGAAAATTACTCGGTTGACTGAATAAACATCACCATGTGACCTTGTTAGTACATAGTAGGGTTGGGTTTGTGTGTAATTTTTTGTTCTTATAGTATAGTTACGTTTGAATTAAATGAATTATGATTTTTAAATAGCTGTAACAGAGATGACTTGAGATAGCATTGTCATTGCGATCGAATAACAAGACAGTATATGGTTCAAGGCTGGATAATGTTTTTCCAAATATAAATACTTGTAAATGAATTATCTTTAGTTGGTGTCCCACAAATGCATCAATGATACATATTAAGATTACTTACAAAATATGTATAACTGGGGTATATAATTAAAGGTACAGCGAACACTTGATAAGAAGACTCTCATGGGGATTATTAAATTAGACTTGTTATCAAGGTTGACTTCTTATCGGTGTTTGCAATAGCAAAAGCATTTGATTAAAGGTAAAATATAAATTTAAGGAGATTTTAAAATGACACTCGTTATCAAGGGTGGCTTGTTATCGAGGTTCCACTGTAGTATAATGCTGTTTTTTGTTTCAGGGCGACCATAGCAGCGATATCTGCATATTTGGATGCGTTTCAGAAGATAGCAGATGCGGCGACGAATACCAGAGGTGAGAAATATTCTTTAACTGGATTTATGTATTATTTATGTATTATATATTATTTAACTGGTGTAATGTATTGGTACATTAAATAGATATTACTGTAGTTGTAAGACATTGAAGTACAAATAATATCGGCCCAAATGATGTTACTGCGGTTTCTGGTAACTGATACAAATGATTTTCCAACAGTATTTTATAAATATATTGAAAATATAATTTTTACAGGGCTTTCCTACATTGTCAACTTGATGTGGCCCTTATTTTCTGAAACAAAACCCCAGAAGGGTCGTGTGATTATTTTGTAATGTGGTCGTGATAAACGAAACTCGATTGAACTCGTCTCAAAAGTTTCGTTTCGGTGCTAGATTTGTGTAAATGACATTAATTATTATACTAACTAGCTGTTACCCACGGGCTTCTCCCTGTTTGACTTCATAAGCATTAATAACATTATTGATTGGTTAGGTTGGGCTGAAATAAACAAAACAGAATACAGTAATACAAACAAATAAGTACACCTGAGATATTTTAACATAAGTATATGGAAAGTTCCCTTTAGAAAGGAATTACGACCTTAAAGGGCAATTTATGAAATAATAATGAAATAATGGCGCAAGGTTTCTCGTCATGACGAACATTTTAAGTATGTGGTTTATGGGGGTGTGACTTGTAGTTTTCTCAAAAGTTCATGGGTACTTTTGGCTTTTATATAGATACTTTACATGGGTCACTTTAGGGCAAATATTAAAATACTATTTTCACACACTGCACGTATTCCAAATACTATTTAGGTCCTCATAAGCTCCTCAACATCGTCTAAAACATCATTAAAACTACCTAAAGGGGGAGGGTTCGTTTAAGAACTAGACATGGAACGCTAAGAAACTTGCGTTAAAAATGTGCACACTTTTCCTATGGCCTCCAAAAATTAATTTGACATTTTTTTCACTTATTGAGTTGCAATTTTTCACTTATTGCATGTTGAGTCATATCGCATATTCAAATAATAGAATTGCACTGCAACTACCAATTCTGGTTAAACACATTTGATTACTACAAGTTTATTTTCCACTAAACTATTGATGATTACTCCAGTCAAATCAACATTTGTCGTGACATTTCCAATTGAAATAACTGCAACTGGAGATACGAGTGGGGTGTAATTAGGTCAGCTTTAATTCGCTACAAATGTCCATTGCAGACTAGCTCGTGCTGTGTTTGCAATTAGGATGTAATTTATACATCGACGTTACAGCTTGTTGACTTCTAACGTAGATGTTGAGTTGTCTGTAATAACTTTGCAGAAGTTGGATTTTAGTAATTTAGATTTGCATTGTGGTCAAGAGAATTCATAATTGCCTACCGTTAAAAATCCATGTTATAGTGTAAAATAACTTGGTTAGTTTTTCATATTACATAGAAATTGCATCTGGATCGAAAATACTATGCATGTTTTATCATTGTTACAATTAACTGATGAATGGTTAATTAATGAAAAAAAGTATATAAATACTTCTTGTTTATTATTCACCCGGATCACGAGGGAATATTTTCATTAGCAGGCTTAACTTTTCTCTAAGTATCTATTATAATAGAGTATTATTATATCTATTATATAAATCAAATTTTATGTAAACGGTTAAGGTCGTTTACCAAATAAAATTATAGGCATATTGGCACATCAAAATGAAGCTTAGAGTGTGTAGATTTGCCGAAAAGTATTGATATGGACGAACTTTCTAAGGGCTCTGTCCCACAGGCTGATTTCCAAAGGGCTATTCCTGACATGCTTCAAATGTTTAAATGATTTAATTTAATTTAGTTAATGAAACAGCTGGTCAGTACAATGAATTGGTGTTTGTTTATTTACTCAAAAAAATATGTTTGTAACACTATATAGATTGAGGACGGTTATGTTTGGTTTTAAAAAGTGAGGTTGTATACGTTTTGTAAAGTATTGCTCAAAGTTTCATTTTTTAATTTATATAGTAAGCTACATGTGAAGAGGCTTGGCTAAAATTGAAGAATTATGGTAAAATATGGCATTCATGAAGCATCTATATGAATCAATTAATGCTTTTGCTACAATAAGGTATGTTGTCATATTCTTATGGATCTATATTAACATCAAAAGTAGGGGTTTGAAAGTAAGTAGGTTTTACGCTTTTAAATCAGTTTATATTTTCAAAATAAATCATAGAGTTGCTGTATTTTAAAACTACATCAGCACCACTTTCATAGCTCTCTAGGTCACATTTTCTTCCCGTTGCAAAGCACGGGTATAGCAGCTTGTAACAAATTAATTACATGTTTTATTTTTATCCATTCGATTCAATGGTGACGACGCAGTCGTATAAGTACTAAATATAGTTTAACGTTCAAGCGAAAACTCTGGCTAAAATTTCAGTTGCTACTTAACATACAAACGGGTTAGATTTTTCATTTCGAACCGGCTTGAATAGGTGTGTTTAAATATTTGCAAGGTCTAAAAGGTTGGCGAAAGCTGCTTTTACCCTCTTGACTGGAGCTCATTTGAAAGAATCTCACACTGTACAGCCAATGTTCAAAAGACTGTTTCAAGCACAACCCCTTTCAGCGCAGGTTGTTTGAAAAGTTGAAAATGTTTTCGCGTCTCGCAAAGAAAGTGTCTGCTGTAATTGCTTTGTAATTTAAGTCGTCGACGCGATTCTCGTTTCGTATTAAATTTTTGCCTTTAAAATTAAAACTGTTTATGACATCCTACTTTTGGTTGAATGTGGTTTTCGTGTCTTTCTCACAAATATAAATTGGAAGAACGGCTTGTGTACAGTTAGTGTTGCATTAGTGTATCACAATGTACGGTGTTATTATTGGTATATTACTAACAACAACATTATGACGATTATTATTTTAACAAAAATACTTATGGGACATTTGCACACACAAACCGTTGATGTTTAAACTGGTTATATTATTTTATATTATAATTAATTTGATATTTGGTCCTTCGAGCCGGATTATATAATGAAGTGATAGATCTTAATAAAATAATATACTGTAATAGTATATTAATACTAAAAGGTTGTTAAGTTACGATTATGGGTATATTTATTGCCAATTTCGCCTTTACAATATGTTGTATTGGCGTGTATTTAACATTCGCTACCATTTATATGGATCAGTTGATGAAAATTTTAATGCTTTCCTGTCAGTTACAAACGTAGAGGGTGTTTGTTTTTTTATGCAGATTGTTTCTTGTAATTTAGCCAACCTCAAAACTTGAAGCTGAATTCAATGATCTATTTGTTTGTAAAAAAAATCAAATACTTGCCTCGGTATTACAACAGAGTATAGTACAAATTGTAACATTTACTGGAAAATAAGAAAAAAACATTCAATCGAAATCAGCGTACTCAAATCTCACCAACATGAAATGCACATAAAAAGGCATTTCACAATAAAATGACAAGGTTACCGTGCACTATTTAAAGTTAGTTGATTATTAATTGACGACCATCTAATGCATATAAAATAAAATCATGCACATCAGAATATTTAAATACTGCTTTGAATAAGGCTGGCTTAAAGATTTTTGGCGTTTTTATCAATTTATGCACCGATGTAGGTTTGAATTTGAAAATTGGTCTCTTGAGGTAAGTTGCCTCGTCCAGTGGTAGGCTCCGTTTGAAAACCAGCACTGTAATTCGCTCTGACATTCCACCTTGCCCATATAGTCCTTGGAGTAGTATTGGTCTTGCAACACTACGTGAAATTTTACCTCTTGCTAAGGGTTTTTGTAGGAAAATATTTTACACAGGCTCAAAATTAATTGAACAAGCTTTTGTCTAAACTGTTTAGCACTTGAAAATATACTGTTTAGCACTTGAAAAGTTTTTTTAGGTAAAATATTACTATATGCAAATTTTTATGCCACTTAATCTATGTCAAAAACATGATATTTTTAAAAACATGCATGAAATTAACGTTATATATGACAATTAAGGTAAATAAATTAACCAAAGGTAAAAATGTGGTAAAAATGATTGTATCTAATAATTAAAGAGGCATTCTGATATTTATTGTAGATATGAAAAAGCAAATTCGTAGAATTTTTTTATAAAGAGTAAGTTAAAATTTATCAACATTTATTCAATCAGTCCACGTAGTTAACTTTCATTCTAGTCCAAAGGCATACATACGAAACTGGCGTTTGTTATACTGATGAAAATTGACAAATGAAGCGGTCCAAAATTTACATTTACTAAATTTACTATACTGTATTTAATAATTCCACATTACCAGGTTTAAAATAACATTTCGTTCATAAACATTCACTCAAATTTACCGTATTGGCTTACACAGAGATTGCACCTTTCAAATAAAACTATATCGCAACAAAATTAATTCATTTAGGAGTTTTAGAGTAGCTGTGACGTGCGCGCCTTTTCTTATCACATCTCCCTCCATTTACCTTGTCGTTCCCGCCAAATGTTTGTCTCGGTGTCACGTGACAAGCCACGGTGTGACAATCCGTGTGCCACATACGGTTTCAACATTTACTGTTTGTTGGTTTGGTTTTCTAGACAGAATAAACAAACCTTGTAGATTTATGTGTTTGTAGTCACGCTTAGCTTTGCTTTGGATATTTGAGTAGGTTAAATGGAAGTGTTGGTGTAGAGTTTTTTGTGTAGTCCGTGATAAAAATCGTAGTTGAATTGTTTACGGATTAGAAGTACTTGAGTTTTACATCAGAAAATGTCTCGAGTACAGGAACTCAATTGCAACAGTTCAAATTAATGTTTTATTGGACAAATGTACATTTAACTGTGCGTCTTTTCATGGATCAATTGCTAATACTATTTTCATTATGATGTTTGGAAGAAGGTTAACTTATAAAGATAGCTAAATATTGTTTAGGACAAATTAATTGTGTCGTTCATAGATGTATTCCAAAATAGTGACAACAATGGTAAAACCTTGATTGCAAACAATGAAAGTGCTCTACCAGAATTTAATATGTAATACCA